CTTCTTGTTTGTTTTGTGTGTTATTTAATGATCTCTGCTGCGTTATTTTGTATCTAAGGTTGTATTACAGCTTTAGTTAGCTACGGTATGAGTCAGTCTGCATTATCTGTACTCTGTGCAGTGTTTATGACCTTTTTATTGTGTTTTAGATAACCATTTGGAGATGTGGCTGAGGACAGAAGATTAAAATTTGCCTATAGGGCAAACTGTGGCTCATGCACTGCTACTTTCCTCTGGATAGATGAACACAGTGCTTGTTAAATAAATGAAATGATGAAGAGGGAGATTTCTTGGACCTAAATGTTCTCACCCAGATATTCTCTGTCAGAACTGTTTTAAATCATCTCATTATCAGCTGCACGGAGGTAATATACGAGCATGCAGCACCTTGTTTCCAGCTCTCTCCTATGAGAGATAATGTGAATATGCATTCAGCACCGCATGAGTTTTCAATTACGTTCAGGCCATATATTTGATTATACAGCAGCCTCATCCACACTGTGATCTCAAATGTGACAGAAAATGAAAGAAATAAGCAAAGCAGTTTTTACTGCTATAAGTTAGTGTAGTGAAGCATGATGGGATGGAGGGCGGCTCGCCCCTTCATCCATGTTAATTCCACCCAGACTGCACAGTTCCTGCTTCCTGCAGACTGAGCGACATCCAAGTTCTCATTTTCTTTAAAGACTAAAAAACTTGAGTACTATGATGCACACAAGTCATTTTGTTTCTTAGTTTTTAATGTAGACAAATTGTCAAGTGTGGTGCTGTAACAGGATGCCACTAGTACAACAAGTCAGCTTAACTTAATTTCTTTCCCTGTAAGATATTCCATGATTAGCTGGAAGTGGTATCACTTCAGCATTAACATCAGCACAGAAACTGTGAGCTGGGTGCTTCATAGTGGGTTTCCATGGTAACGTCTAGGTGGCCCAGCGTTTTTATCCATGAAGTACATGTTGAAAAAAATAGAATTCTCAGTGACGCTTTAATCATATCATTCATCCTTGGCGTTTTCCTGCTACAGATCATTACTCATTAGCTGAAATAAACACCAATACACCCAAGTTAACCCAAGTTGCCCACAGCATCATTGTGTTTCTGTTGCTTTGACCAGAACAATCCTTTGCAGATGTTTATTGTATTTTTTTTTTTTTTTTAGCAAACTGAGGAGATAAACGAAGCTGAAAACTGGACTTCCTCCACTTCATACTGGTCCAACAGTGATTCAGGCCCATTTCAAATCACTGTAAAGATGATCATGTTTACAGCCTGCAGGTATATAACTAACAATTTTCAATCAAAACTATAGAAGATATTAAAATAATAAATACAACTTAAACTTAATTATGTGTTCGGGACATTTCTGCTTTGACCGATTCAAAGTGGCTTAAAAAATCCTCATGTTGATGCTTCAACAAACCATTTCTGCTGCTATTTTCATCTTTTAAAGGGTTAATCACACTCAACTAACAGAAGTTCTAAATGTTCTCACAGATCCTAAATGTCTCCGACAAAAGGAGTAAATCGATCTGCCTGGAACTTTTAGTTCCAGCAGCAAACTGTCATGACCCAGGGTTCATGAGTGCTTATGGACTTGTGCATATTTGATGGCTTGTCTTGGGCTGGCAGTCCTCCTTGGTTATGTATTGACTGTTGTCCCTCGTTATCCCTTTTACTGGTGTGTGTGTGTGTGTGTGTGTGTGTGTGTGTGTGTGTGGCGATGTCCTGGTTTTCCTGGGAAACCAGGTCTAGAGAGTGTGTCCCAGCGGGACATGCAGCGGATGAGCCTCGTCTGTGGGAGTTACTTGGGAGAGTGGCTGACCTTGCGTCGCTGCTGGATCGTTGCAAGAATTCCCGTTAGTTTCTAAGCAAGACAGTCAGTAAGTGTGAGTTTGCTGCCGTTGTGAATGTACTAATGGCTGTGTCTGTGATTTCCCAACAAGAGGGAAACACGGAGCATGGACACTGGGAGAAGACACGGCATAGAAGTCGGGGACACACGGGCATCTATCATTGTGTTAATATTTACTTCACTGTAAATAAATGCACTGTGTTCATTACAGAGAGTCCTGCATTTGGGTCCTACTTTCCCTGCAACGCCACACAGCTGATGTTTAGACGCATCCACACACACAGGTGGTGTCGGTTGGTCCGTGCATTCATAGTTAATGTCTGAGCAGATAGCATACTTTTTTCTTTGTTTTTTTCAAAGAGCTTTAAAATTGTCTGGGTATTTGGTAAAGATAAACAAAAAGTGGGCAGCACGGTGGCACGGTGGTTAGCACTGTTGCCGCACAGCAAGAAGGTCCTGAGTTCAATTCCAACATCAGGCC